GCATYTATTTTGACCTTTGCATTTAATGGTCACATGATACTGTAGATCTGCCAAACTGGAACTGCAAAGTTCCCACTGTGGTTTTCAAAACAAAGAAAAATCAAGTTTGACGGGCTGTGTTCCTTTTGCTTTTGAGGTTGTTTATTTCTTTTGCCAGCCAGTATGGCTAATTTAGTACCTTGTGAACATATAATACAAAAGTATCTGTAGCTTAGTTATGATGCATTCTTTGACAGGATGAAGGCCCTACTAAAGTAGAGGAAGAAATTCAAAAATACACAACACTATCTTACAGAGCACCAGAAATGGTGGACTTGTACAGTGGCAAAACAATATCAACCAAGTCAGACATATGGGTATGAAGTACATTGATACTTTGACACAAAATACTTTGGCATACTACCTTTGCTAAATTAATGCTAAATTTAACATTTTGCAATATGTGTGCTTTACCCTCCCCTCCCCTCTCTGACTAGTGTTGATGTGGATCGTAGAGCACTACATCAGTGCATCAGGGGGAGGCTGAATGGTGCTTGTTGAATAGATGTTGCTTTTTGTCACCAATCACTCAAAAAGGGGGGTCTTTGTATCAAGGATTTATGTTGGAATGAAAATATTTTCTTAATTTTGAGAAAAGCAATTAATTCAAGTAGACAGTTAGACCTCGTTATTTAAAAAAAGGTGATTAAACTCAGACTACAATGATGTAGTTCAATCAGAATCCCAATAAAGGGTAAACTGCTGTCAATGAGAGCGAGTAATGATAAACTAATAGTTATTACATACATGATCTAATTTAATATTTTTTCTAATTTGCTTTGTATTTTTGTTAGGCTCTTGGATGTCTTCTGTACAAATTATGTTTTTTTACTTTGCCTTTTGGTGAAAGTACTCTGGCCATCCAAAGTGCACAGTTTTCTTTCCCAGAAAAGTCACGTTATTCCAAAGAACTCCACAGCCTAATCAGTAAGTGACTAAAATTATTGTTTGAATGATATAATTATTAGAGTAGAGTGTCAAAATCATGAAATGGTTAACTTAAAGAAGTTCTCATTTATAATTAGTTTGTGATACAACATTTTTTGGGTGGGGGAGCCCGCCACTAATAACGGATAGTGAGAAAACTAAGTGTAATACATGTAGTCAAAATGTAAAAATGGACAATGTACAACAGTATTTACAACAACAGCAGTACCAACAGCAGATGCAACAATGACATCAACAGTTTCAGCAACAGCAACAGCAACAACAACAACAACTCCAACGGCAAAGATTACTCCTACAGCAACAATGACACTGCAACAATGACAATAACAGCTTCAGCAACAACAACAACTACAACAACAACAACAACAACTCCAACGGCAAAGATTACTCCTACAGCAACAATGACACTGCAACAATGACAATAACAGCTTCAGGAACAACAACAACTACAACAACAACAAATCCAACGGCAAAGATTACTCCTACAGCAACAAGGACACTGCGACAATGACAACAGCAACTTCAGCAACAGCAATTACAACAGCAACAACTCCAATGGCAAAGATTACTCCTACAGTAACATTGCCAATAACAGCTTCAGCAACAGCAATTACAACAGCAACAATTACAACGGCAAAGATTACTCCTACAGCAAGAACAACAGAGACAATGGAAAATGTACGCTCAGAAATAAAGTGTGCTGTCTTAATTTGTTTTCCAGGCTATTTATTGACACCAGACCCTGATACCAGACCAGACATCTATCAAGTATCACACATTGCCTTCAAATTAAGAGGATTGGAGTGTCCAGTCATCAATATTAATGTAAGTAC